GACACCCAGACAGTGACATCGGTGAATACATAACCTCCTTGGTGGCGGTAGAAATCGTTGCTATTATCCAAATAATACACAAAACAATTAAAGCATAATCATGAATCAGTAAAGAATAAAACAAGAATACAGCGCAGAATCGCATGGCCGGACGCACTCTTAGTGAAAAAGTTTTCCTCCATTTAGTGGAAAAGGAAGGGCGCCTTTTGCGTCTGGATATACTGAGCAACAGAAGGGCGCCCTGTACGTTGGGCACGAAGTATAGGAAACTTGCATGGTTAAAAAGAAGGGCGCCGCCTACGTTGGGCACGACTTCCGCCTCATTTTTACAATGCGAGAACTCTATCTTGTATTTCTAGTATCTTTGCTTATAAGGAATGAGAAAAGTGCAGGCTGCGATGGAATGTACGCAGAGAGGATGAAGTACGCACCAACTGAAATGTATACTCTAGTTGCTGACATGTTTAACGACATAGCGAAAACTGGAATAGCACCATCAGAAATAACAGAAGGTGTAGTAATCCCGATACAGAAACCAGGTAAAATACAAGGTCCGAATAAAAACGTGAGACCAACGTTCTTAACAATAATTAGAAAAATTCTAGCAATCCGCATGATCAACAGAATAAAGTGATAAAATAAATAACATTATACCAAACTCGCAAGCAGCATATAGACGAGGACGTAGTACAACAGAACAAGTATTCGCTTGCAAAGTCCTAGCAGAAAAGGCAATAACGTCAACAGATTATCAAACCATAATTCCCCTACTCGATATGAGTAGTGCATTCGATACTGTGAAAAGAGGAAAAATAATCGAAATGTTAAAAGAAATACTAAACCAAGATGAACTAAATATGATTAAAATATTACTAAACGAAGTAAAATTAAAAGTACGCATAGGAAAGGAAATCAGTGAATACCCTCAAATATTGGGATCCCACAGGGAGATTGTCTGTCACCCATACTATTTACGCTCTACCTTGCTAACGCATTAAAATTCATTTGGAGAGAAAATAACCTTCAGACTTTCGCAGAATGTGGACTACAAGTAAGAAGACCAATTGGACGACCTAAAACAACATGGATAAGCAAAGTTAAAAGACTATATAGAGACCTATGTATTTTGCTCTTTACAAATCCAAATTATTATTATTATTATTATTATTATTATTATTACTATTATTATTATTATTAAAAGCGAATTGAAAGGATTAATAAATATATACTGTAAAACCGAGACACATCAAGCCCACGACAGGATCAAGTGGCGAGAAATCGTTGAATGCGCAATGTCGAGAGACGGTTAGCGTGATCAATAAAATACAAATACACCTGCACATGCCCAACCTCATATACTGGCACACGTTGTGAAACCATGGTAAAACATTTGATAAATGCTGAGGTGAAAATTAAATTGAATTTCTTGTTTTTGAAATTTGTTTTGGTGTTATTTTCTTTAATGTTTTTATTGTAAATTCTTTGATTCTTTGATTTACTCTAAATATTGATCACTAACCAATTTATGTTGTATAAAATGTTAATCAATTTGTTATAGAAAATGATGTGATGTAATATATCAGTAAATGCCTTTTTAACTCAGAATCCTGCCGAATATTATAGTTTTCCTCTGTTTTTTATATTATGTATTTCAAAAAATAACTTATCTTGCATTTTGATTTATTTTCTTACCAATACCCCTTAAACTTTAGAAAACCAATCGGTTAATGCTGTGCTTTAATTATATGCTGTATGCTTTTGTTTTATATTTCAAGTAACATTGGCATATTTTTTTTGTGTAGTCAGTAGTAGTCACTCTTGCCTTAATTGAGAACATGTAATAGTCTGATGTTGGTGGTCATTAGGTTAATTGAAAATTGAATTTTTCTCCATAGTTTCATAAAATCCATAGCAGCTCTCCTTGTCTTAATGGAGGGGCATGTAAATATTTTGTAACATCATACACCTGCACATGCCCAGCCTCGTATACTGGCACACATTGCGAAACATCTGCTAAATTCTGATTCAAAATTTTTGTTTTGAGGTGAAAATGATAAATTTATCTAAATCTTCTTGTGTAAATGTTTTTTTATATTATTAATTTACTCCAAATAATGATCACTAACCGATTAGTTTTGTATAAAATGTTAATTACTACTGTAGAGAATAACAGAGATCTCAGCACAAAGAGTGTAGAGGATAAGAAGCTTTAATCAGATTTAAATTCCAAACAAAATCATCAATGGCCCATTTGGTTAATGCATCTGCATAGATAGATAGCAAAAGGTCTCGGGTTTGAATCTTGGTTGCGGAAACTTTTTTTCACACTCATAAATTGCTCTTCTTTAACGTTCGAAAAAAGATTATCTATTTAGGAATACATGTCCATAATTTGCCATTATTGTTTGTGTAATATTGTATACAAACCAATCGTATCGATAGAAGTATGTCTCAAAATGCATTCATTAACATTAACAATATGCCTTTATCAAATTAACAATAAGCCTTTTAAAATCTTTGATGATTTATATATAGCCTATATATATAACGATATAATCATGACAATATTTAATGAGTTATAGACATACTTTATATATATATATAATATATTATATTAATGTTTAAATATATAGACATATTAAATATACTTTATATATATATTTAAATATATATATATAAGCCTATCTGTATATCAATTATGATACAATAGATAAAATCGAAACCGTCTTTGTGTATAAGACATAAGAAATAAGAATACACATTATATGTATATATACATTATTTATATGTATATAATTTTAATATATATATTCCTATACATATGTATATAAATCATTATATAATAGTTAAAATCTAAACCATATTTTATATATAAAAATAATAAGAAACGAATACCATATAATAATATAGACTAGA